TTTATACCCTTGCAGAGGGTATTATAATTTTGGTCAAAAGTGTGCAACGCAGTGAAGGAGACATCTCCGACCCTATAAAGTATATATATTCTTGATCAGGATCACCTCCTGAGTTGATATAGCCATGTCCGTCTGTCCGTCTGTCCGTCTGTCTGTCCGTCTGTCTGTCCGTCTGTCTGTCCGTCTGTCTGTCCGTCTGTCTGTTTCTACGCACACTAGTCTCTCAGTTTTAAAGCTATCGAGTTGAAACTTTGCACACAGCCTTCTTTCCTTTGCACGCAGTATATATGTCGGAACGGCCGGGATCGGCCGACTATATCCTATAGCTGCCATATAACTGATTGATCGGAAATGCCATAACTTTGGTGTTTGTAAAGTTAGGAAGTTGGAATTTTCTATGGGTTTTATATTTGGCCAATCAATCCGACCTACCAAATTTCATAAGGATCGGCCGACTATATCTTATAGCTGCCATATAACTGATTGATCGGAAATGCCATAACTTTGGTGTTTGTAAGGTTAGGAAGTTGGGATTTTCTATCGGTTTTATATTTGGCCAATTAATCCGACCTACCAAATTTCATACGGATCGGCCGACTATATCCTATAGCCGCCATAAAACTGATTGATCTGAAATGCCATAACTTTGGTGTTTGTTAAGTTAGGAAGTTGGGATTTTCTATGGGTTTTATTTTTGGCCAATCAATCCGACCTACCAAAGTTCATAAGGATCGGCCGACTATATCTTATAGCTGCCATATAACTGAACGATTCGAAATGCCATAACTTTGGTGTTTTTAAAGTTAGGAAGTTTTTCTTTCTTGTTATACCCTTGCAGAGGGTATTATAATTTTGGTCAAAAGTGTGCAACGCAGTGAAGGAGGCATCTCCGACCCTATAAAGTATATATATTCTTGATCAGGATCACCTCCTGAGTTGATATAGCCATGTCCGTCTGTCCGTCTGTCTGTCCGTCTGTCCGTCTGTCTGTTTCTACGCAAACTAGTCTCTCAGTTTTAAAGCTATCGAATTGAAACTTTGCACACACCCTTCTTTCCTTTGCACGCAGTATATAAGTCGGAACGGCCGGGATCGGCCGACTATATCCTATAGCTGCCATATAACTGATTGATCGGAAATGCCATAACTTTGGTGTTTGTAAAGTTAGAAAGTTGGGATTTTCTATGGGTTTTATATTTGGCCAATCAATCCGACCTACCAAATTTCATAAGGATCGGCCGACTATATCCTATAGCTGCCATATAACTGAACGATTGGAAATGCCATAACTTTGGTGTTTGTAAAGTTAGAAAGTTAAGATTTTCTACAGGTTTTATATTTGGCTAATCAATCCGACCTACCAAATTTCATAAGAATCGGCCGACTATATCCTATAGCTGCCATATAACTGAACGATTCGAAATGCCATAACTTTGGTGTTTTTAAAGTTAGGAAGTTTGGATTTTCTATTAGTATTAAGAATGCATCATAGGAATAATTTTGGAGAATATTATTATAGAGAATTCTGCAAGGGTATATCAACTTCGGCTCCGCCCGAAGGTAGCTTTCCTTTCTTGTTATACCCTTGCAGAGGGTATTATAATTTTGGTCAAAAGTGTGCAACGCAGTGAAGGAGACATCTCCGACCCTATAAAGTATATATATTCTTGATCAGGATCACCTCCTGAGTTGATATAGCCATGTCCGTCTGTCCGTCTGTCCGTCTGTCTGTCCGTCTGTCTGTCCGTCTGTCTGTTTCTACGCAAACTAGTCTCTCAGTTTTAAAGCTATCGAGTTCAAACTTTGCACACACCCTTCTTTCCTTTGCACGCAGTATATATGTCGGAACGGCCGGGATCGGCCGACTATATCCTATAGCTGCCATATAATTGATTGATCGGAAATGCCATAACTTTGGTGTTTGTAAAGTTAGGAAGTTGGAATTTTCTATGGGTTTTACATTTGGCCAATAAATCCGACCTACCAAATTTCATAAGGATCGGCCGACTATATCCTATAGCTGCCATATAACTGATTGATCGGAAATGCCATAACTTTGGTGTTTGTTAAGTTAGGAAGTTGGGATTTTCTATGGGTTTTATATTTGGCCAATAAATCCGACCTACCAAATTTCATAAGGATCAGCCGACTATATCCTATAGCCGCCATATAACTGATTGATCGGAATAACTTTGGTGTTTGTTAAGTTAGGAAGTTGGGATTTTTTATGAGTATTAAGAATGCATCATATGAATAATTTTGGAGAATATAATTTACAGAGTATTCTGCAAGGGTATATCAACTTCGGCTCCGCCCGAAGTTAGCTTTCCTTTCTTGTTTTTAATATAACTTTGTATTTTAAAATTTTTTTTATTCTTTGGGATTTGGTAATATTTAAATTCTATGGAATTACGCGTTTCATTTAAATCGGACATCTATATCATATAGCTCCCATAGGAAAATCGAAAAATAAATAAGAAATTAAAATGATTGAAAAATGAATGATAAAATGTATTTTTCTGTTTATCAAAATATTCCTTTAAGATATAGTAATTATTTATTTTGTTAAAATCGGACAACTATATCATGTAGCTGCCATAGAAGCGATGGCAAAATAGCTACATAGCTTTGTAGTCGTTTTGTAATAACTGAAAGGGTATATAAACTTTAACTTGCTGAAGTTTGCTTCCTTTCTTGTTATTTATGTCTTTCTCTGAAAATTAAAAACAAAAGTTCGGCAAATGTATACTCTATCTATCCATTTTTGTTAGTTACAGTTGGTGTACCTATTTAATTCAGATAAAAATAAAAATGCTGAATTTGAATTTGAAAGCCAAATCGTATGATTGCTTTGTAGACTATAACCGACAAATCCCAGGTTGTATAATTCCAACTTGCCATATAAGCGGCAAACATATTTCCTTATTTCAGTCGGGTTTTTTTTAAGTCCCATACGATAAGGCTTACGGCATTAAGAATGGGCCTATTAATAAAAAATGTTATATTTTAGTGTAAATAAAATACATTTTCGGCCGAAATGATTAAATATAGTTCTCCTTGCAGCTGAGCCACTCTAAGTTCATCCCTTTAATTACACGTGAAAGGCTAAGTCCTGCTGAATCCCAATCGGACAGGATCTCACCACACGACAGGTAAGATCAGACGGATGAAAGCTCACTAAAAGTGTTCCAAATCCCTGCTGGAAACCCAATCAAAGCGACTTTAATGCAAATGCGCTGTCATTTCCCTTGCACTCGATTCCGTTGACACACAAAAAGCGGAAAAATACAGAAAGGGAACAGAGAATCACGGATTTAGAAACAGTGACGAACCGGCAGTGCGATTTGTGCTCATTTGTCAATGCACGGGTGATGCTGCTCCACTGCCACTCGCTTCACGTCAATCCACATAACGTATACGCCCCTTTGGCCACGCCGAATGCAGTTTGTAGCTCTCTTAGTTGTTGCTTTTGTTTGCGGGGATGTTGGGTTGCTTGGCGTTTTGGTGGAAAGCACACACGGAACACAAAACACAGAACAATTCCATTGTCAGTTCCAGTCTCCACCCGTTTGAACATCAAACACTCCGCCCTGAGCCCGCTGTTGGGATTTTAATTTATAATTCAGCACTCGAACATGTCACCAAAGAGTTTTAACAGTATGTACTACAAAATCAACTCCGCGACGACGTAAACCGATTAAGTATTCGGTGATTGGGAGATTCCTCGTACGTAAAACATCAATAATTCAGATGTGCATGAACATAAAAAGCCAGCTTCGATAAACTGTTTGCATATTTTGTGCAGTTTGTTTTATTCCGTAGGCGTAAATTGCAAGATAACCAAACAGGGTTAATAAACTTTTTGAGCGAAAATTTTATACTTATGCTTTTATAAATTTAATTTGCAAGCTATTCTGCAGGTTCATCGAAGTAAAAGCGTATTAGTATTTCTTACTGAGTTTTAGTAAGTATTCTTATTAGCAGTCATATAGTAAGAGACTGAAAATAACATTAACTTTTCATTAGAAATTATTTCTTTCTCTAAAGTCTAATTACTTATTATATCCTTGCAGAGGGTATTATAATTTCAGTCAAAAGTTTGCAACGCAGTGAAGGAGACATTTCCGACACTATGAAGTAGTGGGTTTCATTTTTGGCCAATCAATCTGAGCTACCAAATTTCAAAAGGATCGGCCGACTATATCTTATAGCTGCCATATAACTGATCGATTGGAAATGCCATAACTTTGGTGATTTTAAAGTTAGGAAGTTGGGTTTTTGTATGAGTGTTAAGAATGCATCATATGAATAATTTTGGAGAATATAATTTAAAGAATATTCTCCAAGGACGGACAGACGGACATGCTTATATTAACTCAGGACGCGATCCTGATCAAGAATACTTATAGGGTCGGAGGTGACTCCTTCGCTGCGCTGCACCCTTTTGACCAAAATTATCATACCCTCTGCCTGGGTATAAAAAGCCAGAGTCGAGTGCCCTGGCTATCAGAGACCCGTTAATCTATTAAGCAATTTTAAAATAATTGTGCCTTCTTCACCTTATTTCTTAAATGTTTGTGAATTTGTCTCCCTTCGAAACTCTTTTTTCCACCATGTCTTATCTATGTCTTTGAGCGGAGAAGTTCGTGAGCAAATTCTGAACTGTCTAAACGTGTTTTTCTGGTGTCAAATGCTTGGCTGCTTGCTGAAAAATGCAAAAATTGGGCATATTGCTATTTTCAATGCCAGTAAAGTGAATTAAAAGAACGGATTATATTCAATTCAAAGAACAAGCTTGATTCACTTGTCTCGATTTGAAGGTGATTTATAGGTCCAAAAAATGCAGTGCCCATAAATATTGTAGCGATGAGACCTTCGTTGAGTGCCCCAGTGAGATTTTTCCAGAGCATCATAATTAACTAAGGCACACTACATCTCTCCTGTCCCTCTGTTTTAGCTTTCAAAATGTCAGAAATACAAAAATTGTATTCCACCAAACACATCTTTCTTTTGTACTTGTTGTTTTTACTTTGTTGTTTGTTTGCCATAAGTTGTTGAGGTATCACAATGGCCAGCCTATTGAGTGCAACTGATAGTCTTCAGGCTCCGACTGCCGGAGTGAAGCCGCACCTGCAGCCTTGGGAGATAATTGCGTGGTCTCCAGAGCGTCTGGGCAACCTGTATTCCGACTGGGCACTATACTTTTTTCGCCAACAGCGCTACGCAAATGGACTTCGTTATTTCAATAACGCCCAGGACCTGAACCCTTTGAGTGCGAGGTCCCTGATGCTCCGGAGTCAGCTGAAGAGGGCCGTGGGCTTGGCGCCGGAGGGTCTGAAGGATTGCTACCAGGCAGAAGGTCAGTCCTGCATTGTGGAAAACTAAATCATTTCCGACTCCTCTCTTCAAGCGCAGATCTGCTGAAGAGGCTCAAACCACCGGTCGCCTCTCCCAACGTCAGTCTGGAGGTCTGCAACTCTCTATATGAGTCAAATCGACTGGAGGATGCCAAGATAAGTCTGCACTGCCATCTGAGGCGTTTCAGGTCCGCACAAAAAGTGCCCGCTGTGGATCATCTGAATGTGGTAGGTCAGCCAACGCGTCAATATCGATTGTGATATTCTTGCAACTAGATCAAACCAAAGCTTCAAAATAATCTAATAAAGATCCCCTACAATTATTACAAAAAAAAAGGTTTAGTCTCATAATGTAAAAAATAATCGATTGCGTTTTTTCTATTTCCAGCTAAATGAGAACTTTCGTGACACATTATCGGATGATACCACGATGTCAGTTCAGCGTCTCATCAATCGCATGGGCACTTTGTCTAAGGCGCCCAAGGAGCTGAAAGACGATTGCGATGTCGTAAGCATAATGGAAAAGGAGGTAACCAACCCTATATGTATTATATTAGAGCTTAGAATGAGATCCGCGATTCAGCTTGATCTGTACGTGTATTATTTAAGAATCATACATCGTGACATCATGGCACCATCGAATAAGAGCTCCTGTCATAAGCTAAGATTCCAATATCTTTTGTAATTCACAACAAATCAAACAAATTAGTCAACCCACGTTAGTCAGACATAAGCAGCTCATGTCTAATACCTTTTATCAGACAAACATTAATGGATTCTTGTTAAGTTTCTCTAAAAACTAAAATCTTTGAAAAATTTTATATTTATTTTTTCAATTTTTTATCTCTATAATAGAAGTTATATGTAATTGAAAACGCGTCTAAAATTGCTCTGATCGAATTGCTTTCGATCAAAAGATTGAGTTACTCGAGGCCATGATTTATGAGAAGATAATTTTGATGAACTCTTTCAATTAATCGAATCGAAAAGTAAATCCTTAAAAGCTAGGTTACGAACTATTTTAAAGATTCTTTACTTGAGCTGTTTTGGTGAGGGCGGATTCAAAAGACTCATCACATCATTTTGAGAATTGTTCTTAATATGTAAGACCTATTGCCTTGCAAAATTTAGTGATACGCAATGACTTTAGTACAAGAGAATACAACATTTTCTTTTCGTATTGATTAAAAAAGAAAATAAATTGTCTCAAAAGCTACCAATCTTCTTACTCGAAAATTCTTCTATTCAAAGTATATTTTAAAAACCCAAAGATTTACTTTTAAAAAAAGTATAAGATATATGAAGCAAAAAAGTATTCTCACGTAAAAACGAGGACGGAAGCTAACTTCGGCAAGCCGAAGTTTTAATACCCTTGCAGACTTTGCCGAAATTGCTAAAACTGAAAAAGTAGCGAAAGGAATAAGGTATACATATATAAACTAGATTTGCGTCGTTTGATGTCAATTGCTTTTATACTGCAAAAAACTGAAAAAATGTTATATAAAAATAGAAAAGGGATACTTTCGCAGCCTTTAACTACTTTTCATACGGAAGCTATAAGAAATACACGTCCGATCGGCAAGCGCTTTTACCCTAATCAAGATATGCGTAAGTAAATAAGACTTGGAAAGCTTACACACTACGCGAAAAATTCAGAAAACCAACAAATTTGGACCGATTTCACACTGTTGTTCCTATGGGAGCTGTAGGATAGAGACGTCCGATCGTCACGTGCTTTCACCCTAATCAAGGTATGCATAAAAAATACGATTTGGAAAGATTCATGTCAATTGCTTATATACTGTGCGAAATAACCTAAAAATCATTACATTTTAACCGATTTCACCGTATTGTTCCTATGGGAGCTATAGGATATAGACGTCCGATCGCCAAGCGCTTTTACCCTGATCAAGGTATGCATAAAAAAATAAGATTTGGAAAGATTTATGTTAATAGCTTTTACACTGCGCGAAATATCTTCCATTCTTGAAAGTTATATCCGATTGTTCCTATGGGAGCTATAGGATATAGACGTCGGATCAGCACGCGCTTTTACCTTGATGAAGGAATGCATAAAAAAATACGATTTGAAAAAATTTATAGCAATAGCTTTTACACAGCGCGAAATATTCTGAAAAACATAAAATTTGGACCGATTTTACCCTATTGTTCCTATGGGAGCTATAGGATATAGACGTCCGATCGCCACGCGCTTTTACCCTGATCAAGGTATGCATAAAAAAATACGATTTGGAAAGATTCATGTCAATAGCTTTTACACTGCGCGAAATATCATCAATTCTTGCAAGATATATCCGATTGTTCCTATGGGAGCTATAGGATATAGACGTCCGATCGGGGCGATTTTCAAACTTGATCTGCGTACACTTGTTTTAGGACGACTGTGAAAGTTTCAGCTAAAGTTTTCGCTAGCTTTTAAACTGAGCTCGCAAACGGTATTGAAACAGACGGACAGACGGACAGACGGACATGGCTATATCGACTCCCCTATTGATCCTGATCAAGAATATATATACTTTATGGGGTCGGAAACGTCTCCTTCACTGCGTTACAAACTTCTGACCAAAATTATAATACCCTCTGCAAGGGTATAAAAAGAAGATAAAACCAAATTAGCTTTTCTAATTTGACAATCATCGACACTTGATGAGGTACATGAGCTCGTTCTGATTAATCGCTTTGTTGTATCATATAGACTGCTATATCTAATACAACTTCCACTTTAAGGAAATACAACTGTCCCCGCTGGAAATAGCTAGACGTAAAAGGCACTTTAAGATATATAACCAGTCGTACCTAAACAAGTGCTGGGTGGATGTGGCATTCCTCAAGAGACTTCGCGATGATCCCAATGTGCAGCCCAAGCATTGTCAAAAGTCATCGGAGTATTTGGGCAAATTGATGGCAGGCAATTATAAAGCGGAGCGAACTCTGACGGTTTGAGTTTGACACTTTAATTAGTCCTTTAAAATTGTAATTTCACTGCCTGCCAACTATAGAAAATGCTGCACACACGAAGTCCCATGTACGCTCTGCATCGTCAAAAGTACCCCAGCGAGGGATTTTACAATAAACAGATGGAAGAAAATCTATACCGCATTCAGTACCAGACGAGGCGAAATATGTTCAAGATCCTACGCAGTATTCGGCTGCTGATACGAGTTGGAGAACTAAATGTGAGTTTTTTGAAACGAAAACAAGAAAGAAAAGCTAACTTCGGGCGGAGCCGAAGTTGAAATACCCTTGCAGAATATTCTGTAAATTATATTCTCCAAAACTATTCATATGATGCATTCTTAATACTCAAAAAAATCCTAACTTCCTAACTTTACAAACACCAAAGTTATGGCATTTCCGATCGTTCAGTTATATGGCAGCTATAGGATATAGTCTTCCGATCCCGGCCGTTCCGACTTATATACTTATATACTTCATTACCTTTTCGGATATTCGAATGATGATTTTTTGATATTTCCTACTAAGTTTTCTTTGTGAATTGGATTACTCCACAGAAACTGACAACGTTTATTGAGGAGGTCATGGGAGATTATGTCACCATCAAGACACATCGCGTAATGCCGTGGAAATTTGAATTCACTAATGAGGTTTACAACTATTTGGGTCTAGCCCGCATTAATGAGTACAAAATCCCCAGCAATATGACCGTCTTGCATGGCAGACAGCGCCTTTTGACACTTTTCAGACTGCCGCCCAATAACAGTCAGGAACTGAAAAAGGCAAAGCCAAAGCGACCGACCACAATGGTAGCCAGATCGGCTATTACCGATCCCAAGGCGGAGAAATTTAAGTATGTGATTAATTGCTAATTACACTGCGCAGCATGTTTAGCGTTTTGAAACGAATCTTTAATTTAGACTTCTAACTAAAGTGCATTATAGTAACCTAAAGATTTGGTATATAATTTTACATTATTTTATAAGTCCTGAGTTTATGATTAAATGTATAATAGCTACAATTAAAATAAGAAATTTAGAGACAATTTTAAAATTGTAGCTACGAAAATATTTAACTAAAATATATTAAGATTTTTCTTTTGTATTTTGTTATATTTTCTTAGGAAACAAGTGGCCCGTCTGGAGAGTCGGATGCGGTTTTCCGAGTTTCACATAGAACGATCCTATCTTCTACACGAACTGGCCCAAGAGCACTTAAACAATAATTCATTTGATGCGGCCTGTTCCATGGCCAGAAAGGCCTTTGACGGTAAGTGAAAGGCAATCGAAAGCTTTTGAATATTACCACTTTATCTTCCTCAGAGGCCGTAAAATGCAATAGTTTTGTTTGGAGCTTCTTGAGTCTGATCGTAATATGCAAGACGCACGCGATTTTGGGTAAAATTGAGCGGGAAAAGGAAATCCTCGCTGAGGCCTTTGAGCTGGCCAAAAAAATGAAAAACCTCGACCTTTGTCTGTTCATAGATATCTGCATTAAGGTAAATGCGGAGGAGATGGAAATGAAACGAATGATCACATCTGATTTAAGTTCAAAAAAACAAAAACTTGGCTCTAGAATGTTCCAAAGCAACGATCAAGTAATAAATGAGGATCGAAGCCAAATTAGCTAAAAAATAATATAGAATATTTAACATCAAAACGGAATATTTGGACCTCATAATAAAAAATATTTTATCATAACTAGCCCTGTCCTTAGTTATTGTATAATTTATTGTGAAGGATAGGTCAATACCAATTTTGATTTAATTTAGCCGTATTTCATTTAAAAAACAAGAAAGGAAAGCTAACTTCGGGCGGACCCGAAGTTGATACACCCTTGCAGAATATTCTGTAAATTATATTCTCCAAAATTATTTGTATGATGCATTCTTAATACTCATAAAAAATCCCAACTTCCTAACTTTAAAAACACCAAAGTAATGGCATTTCCAATCGTTCAGTTATATGGCAGCTATAGAATATAGTCGGCCGATCCTTATGAAATTTGCTATGTCGGATTGATTGGCCAAAAATAAAACCCATAGAAAATTCCAACTTCCTAACTTAAAGCCTAGTACTCAGATCGACAAAACTGCCCGCCAGTCATAAGAGAGAGCGAGAGGCAAACAGCTGGCGTTCACTTTTCGTCAACGTTTTTTTTCACCTCGGTCCTCAGATCGGCGAAAAAAATACCAGAAAATTGCATAGCGTTGCCAGTCTGCGGAAATGAACTTTGGGTGAACCCTAGCGAAAAGATTAAAGCCTAGTATCCAGATCGACAAACGATTACGCTAGCGTAAAAACTTTAATCTTTCCAGTGTGACCAAAAGTTTGAGAGTTCATCAGAGTTAAGCGTGCTACGGTCGTACTGTTAATCAGCTGGGTTTGTTGACAAGCAGTTAAAATTCAAATATCGTATTTGCGGGAAAGAGCCTTTAAAAGATATTATCAAATACCTTGGCAAGAAAAGTCTACCGCTGTACAAAGAAATTAAAAAACAATACAATTTAAAATTAACAGTTCTTTTTTTTAATTTACTGATAATTATTTGCTAATTTAAAGTTCATAGCTGCACTTTTATTGTGTTTTTTCGTACATTCTGGACCTAAAAAACATTTTGCTCGGACAAGAGGCACCCCAGATAGTATTAATGTTATTTTGTCCTCACATGTAAACACCTGCAATCGACTTTTGTGAGTTTTTTGAGTTTTTCCCTCCATTTCTTATAATGTTCAGTGAGAAGCGCACGCCAAAAGATTAAATTTTTTAATCTTTTCGCTAGGGTTCACCCAAAGTTTATTTCCGCAGACTGGCAACGCTATGGAATTTTCTGGTATTTTTTTCGTCGATCAGGAGACCGAAGTAAAAAAAAAGGCCCGACGAAAAGTGAACGCCAGCTGTTTGCCTCTCGCTCTCTCTCATGACTGGCGTACGGTTTACGTCGAAGTGGATACTAGGCTTAAAAAATTTAATCTTTTGGCGTGCGCTTCTCACTGATCATTATAAGAAATGGAGCGAAAAACTCAAAAAACTCTCAAAAATCGATTGCAGGAGTTTACATGTGAGGACAAAATAACATTAATACTATCTGGGGTGCCCCTTGACAGAGCAAAATGTTTTTTAAGTCTAGAATGTACGAAAAACACAATAAAAGTGTAGCTATGAACTTTAAATTAGCAAATAATTATCAGTAAATTAAAAAAAACAACTGTTAAATTTAAATTGTATTGTTTTTTAATTTCTTTGTACAGCGGCAGGCTTGTCTTGCCAAGGTATTTGATAATATCTTTTAAAGGCTCCTTCCCGCAAATGCGATATTTGAAGTTTAACCGGTTGTCAACAAATCCAGCTGATTGATAGTACGACCGTAGCACTCTTAAATCTGATGAACTCTCGAAATTTTGGTCACACTGGAAAGATTAAAGTTTTTACGCTAGCATACTCATTTGTCGATCTGAGTACTAGGCTAAAGGAACGAAGGGTGTGTGCAAAGTTTCAATTCTATATATTTTAAAACTGAGAGACTAGTTCGCGTAGAAACAGACAGACGGACAGACGGAATATATAAACTTTACAGGGTCGGAGATGTCTCCTTCACTGCGTTGCTCACTTTTGACCAAAATTATAATATCCTCTGCAAGGGTATAACAATTATGATTGAGTCCAGCTTCATTTTACATTTTAACGTATGAAGCATATGCAGCTTCAATTTGTATACCCTTGCAGAGGGTATTATAATTTTGGTCAAAAGTGTGCAAAAGTGGGTGTTTGTAAAGTTAGGAAATTGGGATTTTCTATTCTGCAACATCAACTTCGGATCCGCCGGAAGTTAGCTTAACTTTTTTGTTTCCCATATTATTCAACATATTATATAAGTATAGATATTAATTTTAATTCATTATGTGAACTTTTTATGCAATAAGGTTTAAAACTTACAAATCGACTACATTTCGATTTCTATGCCTATATTACTAACAACAATAAAGTTATGTCGATTTTGCGCTGCATATTGCCATCGTTTTTATGGCAGCTATATGATATTGTTATCCGATTTTAATTTAATTAAAACCGCCATTCCTTAATATTCAAATATTACCAAATCCCAAAAAACAAAAAAAAAATAAAAACAACAATTTACAATTACAATTTTACAATTTTTTACAATTTTTACAATTGTCTTGCTTGGCTAGACAAACACTCCTGGTGTTGCTGATCACGAATAATAAGATAATTTGACATGAGATGGGCAATTTTATTAAAAGTTCTTGAAGACTCATTTTCATCAAATTATCCATTTCATTCCAAATATAAGTTTGTCTCTGAATATACAATTAGCGATTGGACTAAAAATGAAAAATGACATTAAATATAAATATCTCAATCTAACTAAAATTTGAAAGTTATCTTTATTGATTTATTTTAATTAAGGCAACATATAATACAACTCAGTTTAAGAACGAGTTAATCCCTTAGAGAAGGGAAGAAGGTGAAGCAATATCTTTTATCTACGTTGCAGAAGGTGAAAACTTTAAAGTGCGACTTTCCCCTGGTATTTCCGGACAGCTAAAAGTTTATCTCAATGAAAAACCCCAAGCACATTAACGGCTGTCGGTGTTGGGCATTCAATCACTGCAAAGTGCAGCTGCAACTTGCTCTTACATATAAATAGTTTATGTTTCTTTCCGTTCCATGTTGCCGCTCGTGAAGGCGGCAACCTTTCGGTGAAAACTTTGCACACTTTCGGTTTTGGGGAGTGCCGGATCTAAGCCAGACTTCCCCAAATCAGAGTCCCCACCTGCTGGATTTTCTTAAGCTGCCTTCGCTGTTCACCATCCTAGTCTCTCAGCCTGGCGGCAGGAAGTTTCGTGCTACATCGCACAAAAGACGCAAATAAATGAAGCCATTTGTTGTGTTGTTAGCTGATTTTCGATGCAAAGGATGGCCAGAGGTGGCAAACTTTCGCACCACCTGCCTGGCGAAACTGTTGGCAATTCCCATTAGTCGCTTGTCATTTAAATTTTTTTGACTTGGTCGTGACCTCGTGTGTACTGAGTGAATTTTTAAATTCAACACGCCAATGCCATCCGACAACTTTTTTGACTTTCGTATGCCGTGGGTGCGGTCTTGCGCAAATGAAGTTCATGCTGCGGAAGTGGCTCATTTAGCAGCGGAAGTAATTTGTCGTCCCTTGGTCAGTTGTTGAATTAACAACATATCTTGTTGCCCCACACTTTTCCTGATTTTTGATTAGATGAATTCGGAACAACGCCACCAAGAGTGATATTTTTATACTCACATAATAAACCAATCGAAAAAACAAATGGACAGGTTATATAATAAGTATTTAGGAAGATATGTCGATATATTTCTTATTAGCAACACGGGTCAAAAGACACCTCAAAAGTTTCAGCTTAGAACTGCATTACCAAATTAATTTGCTACAAAGACATCAACTTTTTATATACCCTTGCAGAGGGTATTATAATTTTAGTCAGAAGTTCGTAACGCAGTGAAGGAGACGTTTCCGACTTCATAAAGTATATATATTCTTAATCAGGATTAATAGGGGAGTCGATATAGCCAAGTCGTCTGTCAGCTCAGTTTAAAAGCTAGCGATCTGAAACTTTCACAGTCGTTCTAAAACATGTGCAGATCAAGTTTGAAAACCGCCCCGATCGGATGTCTATATGCTATAGCTCCTATAGGAACAATCGGATATAACTTGAATCTTTCCAAATCGTATTTTTTATGCATTCCTTGATCAAGGTAAAAGCGCGTGCCGATCGGACGTCTATATCCTATAGCTCCTATAGGAACAATAGGGTGAAATCCGAATTTGATATTTTTCAGAATATTTCGCGTAGTGTATAAGCTATTGACATACATTTTTTCAAGTCTTATTTATTTACGCATATCTTGATCAGGGTTAAATCTCTTGCCGATCGGACGTCTATACCTTATAGCTTCCGTAGTAATACTTGTTAAAGGCGGCGAAAATATCCATTTTTTTTATCATTTTCTATGACGTTTTTGCAGTATAAAAGCTATTGACATGAAACTATGCAAATCTAATATATTTGTGTATACCCTATTCTTTTCGCTACTTTTTCAATTCTAGCAATTTCGGCAAAGTCTACAAGGGTATTAAAACTTCGGCTTGCCGAACTAAGCTTCCGTCCTCGTTGAAAATGAAAAACCCCTGATGAAGAATAAACACGGCTTATTTCTGATTTGATTGGACTGTATATCCCAGCAATACTTTTTTCTGAGCATTTAAAGTCATAAAGTGTGCAAAAAGAGTCCGGAAAGAGAGTTTTTATACCCTTGCAGAGGGTATTATAATTTTGGTCAAAAGTGTGCAACGCAGTGAAGGAGACATCTCCGACCATATAAAGTATATATATTCTTGATCAGGATCACCTCCTGAGTTGATATAGCCATGTCCGTCTGTCCGTCTGTCTGTTTCTACGCAAACTAGTCTCTCAGTTTTAAAGCTATCGAGTTGAAACTTTGCACACACCCTTCTTTCCTTTGCACGCAGTATATATTCCAACTTCCTAACTTAACAAACACCAATGTTATGGCATTTCCGATCAATCAGTTATATGGCAGCTATAGGGTATAGTCGGCTGATCCTTATGAAATTTGGTAGGTCGGATTAATTGGCCAAATATAAAACCCATAGAAAATCCCAACTTCCT